ATGTTAACATATTTTCTTTGCTAACTTAAAAATAAAAAGGCCTTTCAAAGTGAGAGCCATTGGATCTTATCTGAGATCAATAAGAATAGCTACTCAGGAATCATTAATTCAGGACGAAGCCCCAGTAATGTTCGGATTAGGAGACAAAGGCAATGGGTATTTATGAGAAAGGGAAGGGGAACAATTACATCCATAGAAGGAAGGCATTTCTATTGGTGCAAATAACATAACACAGTGATATTAATTCCAAACAATGTTTTGACTTTTACTCCAATAGTCATCAGTCCAGTAGTCACAATGTCTGCTTTCTTGTTATCTTTGCAAACAGTTCTTTTGAGACACAATATTGCCCTCAGTCCAGTTCAAAGGTTATTTTGCTCAGTTTTTAACATTCCAAAGTTTGAGGCATAAGACGTGCAAGGCGGTTCCTCTGGCGTGGCAGCTCCGGCTTCATGTTAAAGTGGCCTCGTGTATATTATTGCTTACATCTTTGTAAACATTTTTAATTAAAACATAACCCTGAACCATATAAAAATATTCTTAGCTGTTGCACCTGAGGTGAGACCAAAGTTGATTTAAAAAACAGTGAATAAAATATTTCACGGTCATTTATTGATTCTGTTTTCTTTCCCTCCCAGACTGGAATATATAACATGATCTTTCTCTGGGCTACCTTTATCTTCCGTGATCTATTTATTTTTTGCTCTGGTACCCGCTTACTTTTTTTCCCCTTTATTGTTGAAAGTATTACAAATGTCTCCCTTTTCCCCCCATTGGTCCCCGCCCGTCTGCACCTCTCCCCCAGGCCTTCACCACACTATTGTCTGTGTCCATGGGTTATGCATATAAGCTCTTAGGTTAATCTCTCCCCACCCATTCACCAACCGGCACCTTCCCTCTGAGATTCGTCAGCTTGTTCCATGCTGGATCTATTTTGTTCATCTGTTTATTTTGTTCATTAGATTCCACATATAAGTGAGATCATGTGATATTTGTCTTTCTCTGACTGGCTTATTTCACTCAGCATAATACTCTCCAGGTCCCTCCATGCTGCCTCAAAGGGTAGGGGATCCTTCGTTTTTACAGCTGAGTAGTATTCCATGGTGTAAATGTCTGAGAAGATGCTTGATATGATTCCTATCTTCTTGAACTTGTAGAGACTTGTTTTGTGTCCTAACATGTGGTCTATTTTTAAGAATGTCCCATGTGCACTTGAGGAGAATGCATATTCTGCAGTTTTGGAGCAGAATGTTCTGTAAATGTCAATTAAATCCATCTGATCTAGTGTGTCACTTAGAGTCACTGTTTCCTTGTTGATTTTTTGTCGAGATGATCTATCCAGTAAAGTGAGTGGAATGTTAAAGTCCCTACTGCGACTGTATTGCTGCCGATCTCTCCTTTATAGTCCTCCAGAAGTTTTTGTTTTTGTCTTTTTTCTCAGCCTGTGTGTCTTTTGTTCTGAGGTGGGTCTCTTGTAGACAGCATCTATTTGGGTCATGTTTTATCCATTCAGATACTCTGTGTCCTTTGATTGGAGCATTTAATCCACTTATATTTAAGGTTGTTATTATTGATAGGTACTTATCTATCGCCATTTTATTTCTTTATGCCTATGTTTCTCATTCAATTTCAACTGCCAATTACAGCAGTCCCTTTAACATTTCTTGCAATGCTGGTTGGGTGGTGATAAACTCCTTTAGCCTTTTTTTTTTTTTGGTCTGGGGAGCTCTTTATCATCTGTTTTGAATGATAGCCTTGCTGGATAGAGTATTATTGGTTTCAGATCCTTGCTTTGCATTACCCTGAATACTTCATGCCATTCCCTTCTGGCCTGTAGAGTTTCTGATAAGAAATCAGCTGACAGCCTTATGGGAGCTCCTTTGTGGGCAACAGATTGCTTTTCTCTTGCTGCCTTTAAGATTCTCTCTTTATCTTGAATTTTTGGCATTTTAACTATGATGTGTCTGGGCATGGGCCTTTTTGGGTTTTTTTTGCTTGGGACTCTCTGTGCCTCCTGAACTTGTTTGGCTTTTTCCTTGACCAGGTTAGGGAAGTTTCTGCCATTATTTCTTCAAATAATTTCTCTAACCCTTGCTTACTTTCTACATCTTCTGGCACTCCTATGATGCAAATATTGTTACATTTCATGTTGTCCCACAGTTCCCTTAAACTGTCTATCTGTGTTTTAATTGTTTTTTCTTTTTGTTTCTCTGATTGATTTTTTCTACCCTGTCTTCTAATTCACTGATCCAACTCTCAGCTTCCTCTAATCTGCTGTTCATTCCTTCCAATGCTTTTAAAAATTTATTTCTACTATGTTCTTCTTAATTTTCTTCATAGTTTCCATGTCTTTTCTCATGTTGTTGAGCATCCTTATGATCAGTCTTCTCTGAACTCTATATTTGATAGATTGCTTATCTCCATTTCATTTAGCTCTTCTTCTGGAGAATTCCTTTGTTCTTTCATTTGGGCTAGTTTTTTTGCCTCCCCATTTTGGCTGCCTGTTTGGGTTTGTTTCTATGTATTAATTAGATCTGCTAGGACTCCCAGTCTTTTGGATGGTCTCTGGTGCAGGCCAATGTCAGACACTGTTTGTGACTGGCCTTGAGTACCCTGTTTGAAGTTTTCCACACTCCACTGCTTGTGGTTCCTTCTCCTGGGGCTAAGGTGTGTTTGGACAGGACTAAGATGTTCACCAAGGTCTGCTTTTCCAAGCCCTTGGTCCAGAAGCAAATCAGGCAAAGACTCAAAGCACCCAGAGGCTGTTATTCAGTTTCTTAATCAGCCTCAGGCTGTAGAAATTCCATAGGGTATGGGGAGAGATCTTCCAACAGGGTGGGGCAATTGCTTCTCCCCCAGGCAAAAGCTGCTTAGAAGGTCAATGTCTGCCTGAGAAAGATGTCCTCTGCATATGGGGGAATAGCTCAGCACAGGGACTCAGATGGGTCCCCTCTGAGCTTTATTTCCCTGAGCCAGCAATCTCGGACTCCCCTCATACTGCTCTAGTCCACTCTGCCCCACTGCCCTGGAGCCCAAGGTGAGTGGCTCTACATGAAACTTTGTGTATTGGCTCTTTAAGAGGGTGCCTGCATTTCCAGCTGTCTCTCCCTGGCAGGCAGAAACTCTGCTGCTCTTCATAGCTAGATGTTATGTGGGCATCTTTTTCAGTTCTGGTGCTCTGGGTTGGAAGCCCAGTCTGGGGTTTAGACCCCAGAGTCCTCAGTGGGAACCTCCCACAGCTGAGATAACCCTCTTGACCTTCAGCTGCTGCCTGTGGGAGCTTAGCTAGCCCTCCTGCATCTGCACTTCCTACCAGTCTCTATGTGGTCTCTGCTTTTTGTCCTTGGTTATGAGGGTGTTCTCCAGCTCGTCTGCAGTTGAAGTTAATTATTCAGGATGGTTTTTCTCCCTGCTTGTTTTTATAAAGCAGGTCTATGGGGTTATTTGGGAAGAAAGAATGCATTTACAGTAATTTCTCTTCCCACGAGGACACACTGGCTCTGTTGGGGCAAGTGTGGATTCCTTTTCCCTGTAAAGCTCTGCGAGATCATCCCCACACAGCAGCCCCACATTCCAGAGAGGAGTGTATTCCTAGGTGTGGGCTGTGGGGTGGCTTTGGGGTTACTTTTGGAGTAACTTCTAATCCATCACCTTTTTGAACGGTTGAAACACTAGGACATCCTGGAGCAGAGAGAGATGGCAGGTGCAAAGTTGTGCCAGAGTGACATGTCTGGAGTCAAGTGTGTGCAGGCGGAGAAACAGGAGGGGACTCTCAGAGCCATGGAGTGAAAGCCAACTCACCTGGGGCTGCTGAGATCTGAGGTGCAGAGAGAAGGCAGTGCCAGCACCAGGCCAGCATTCCCTGTCTGGAGCTCCAACGTGTTCATCATGTATTTGTTCATTAATTTGACAATTTTTTCTGGAGTGCTTGTTAATGTGTCAAACATTATTCGAAATGTTAGGGATGTAAATGAAAATACGAGTGAAGTCTCATGAGGAGCTTACATTGATAGGCTGTTATGTAAACACCCACATCTGAGGGTGACCAACGCTATAGTAAGAAACAAAGCAGGATGGGTGCCAGAGGGAGGTGGTGGGTGGGGAGTGCTGTCTTGTGGGGGACCCAGGCAGGCCGCCCTGATGAAGTGCCACTTCAGTGGAGACAGGAGTGAGAGAGTCAATCCCAGGGTTGGGAAAGGATGCTCCTGGCTGAAGGACAAAGGAAGGGCAAGTGCAGAGCCCCAGCGGGGAGCATTCAAGGCGGGCTTGAGTCTTAGGAGCTGAGTGAGGGTGAGCGTCCAAGGAGGAGACCTGGGAGAGAGGCCTAGGGATCCAGGCCAGGAAGGGTCAAGAGGCCTAAACGAGGCTGGGGTGGGAACTTTGGAATAATGGGGAGGAGGCAAGGTTTTTGGATGCACTGTTACTCCAGTGCAAACTAGGCCCTTGGTGATGTTGGGGGATGACAGTGAATATGGAGTACGTGTGGATCTGGTGTGAATTTGTGCACACACACATGTGAATGTATGAGTGGTTGAGTGAATATGTGTGTATGTTTGTGTGAGTCTGTGTGTAACTGTGTGTGTTTATGTATTCTGAGTGTGTGTCTGATATGAATGTGTGTGTTGGTGTGAATGCATGTGTGTTTATATGTGTATAATTATCTATGTGGGTATGTGTAGGTACTTGTGTCTTTACATGTTATGTGTTTGTGTGTTTGTGTTTGTGTGTGTTCTCATAATAAACAAGGCAGAAGAGGCCCCTAAAGGAAGTGAGAACCTGGTGAGAAACCTCTCCTGGCATCCTGGCTGGGTCTCTATCTCTGCCATGGGTCACAGAGCAGACCAGTGTCACTGATGAGGTCACAGAATAAAGCCAGGATGCTAGTGACCCCTGGAGCCCCAGTGGCCACCCAGGCTGGGGCCAGTGGAGGGCTTAATGTAGCCCAAGCTAACTCCCAACAGCCCACTGGAACACTGATGCCCTGGGCCTGCTGTCCAGTCATGAAACGCTACCCCAGGGACCACAGTGGACAGCAGTCACCAACCGATGGGACCACCCTCAGCTTGGCTAGCTCAGGGTCCACGGAGCAGAGTGTGGAAGTGTGCTGGCCAGGTAGGTTGTAAAACAGCTGGAGATTGCAGCCAGGGAGGGAGGGCCTAGAAAGGGAAGGGTGGGCACCGTGTCACCCCTCAGAGCTGCTACCAAATTGTTGTATTGGCCATAAAAATGGATGGTGGGTATGACTGAGGGCAATGTTGTGAGTACATGAGCTGATTTCAGGATATACGAGGATGAAGATATAAAATGTCGATCCTTGTGGGGTTTTGGGAGGATTCGTTTGTGTTTTTAATTTTAGAGGATGTTTATTAATGCTGGGGACAGTGAAACAAGGAAGGGCCTAGGATAACAAGAGAGGGACTAGGTGGGGAAATGAGCCTAGACTGGGTTGCTTTGGCTCACTAAGAAGTCAGAGAAAAGAAGGCCTTGGGGACAGGTTTAAGGGGTTTGCCTGGGACTTGCTGCTGCCGCCCATTGCTCCCCTGGTTGCAAGCCTCGTGAGGTCCCTCGTTATTTTTCAATGTGCATTAAAAAAACAGTTGACATGTCAATCCTGTGATTTCAGCAGGGATATAAAAATCCCTTTATAATGAATTGATTAAAGTTCATCTAGAAAATCAATGTGAAGACCACCGTGAAATGGGCAGCATCTGAGGGTAACACACAGGCTCTTGGGCACAGTGCTAGGCACCAGCTCTGGCACTACCAGCCATTTTATATATCTCTCTCACATACACACAGACAACAGTGTGGTGATAGTCAGAGGAATGGTGGGGGGCAGGTGGAGGTGGTCAAAGGGGGGGAATGTGGACAGAAAGACTGCTTGGGGAGATGGGAGCACAGTGCAATGTGCAGATGGGGTTTTATTGAGTTGTACACTTGAAACCTGTGTAGTTTTGTGAAACATGTCACCCCAATAAATTCAATAAAACAAAATAAATAAATAAAAATGCTCTGTGCCTCCATTTCCTAATCTGTCAGCTAGGGGTCTAACAATGCAGTTTCTTAGGGTTTTGTGAGTATTAAAGGAGTTAAAAATATGGACCTGGAGAGGATTATGCTGAGTAAAATAAGCCAGTCAGAAAAAGACAAACATCACATGATCTCACTCATATGTGGAATCAATTAACACAATAAACTGTTGAAAAAGATAGGTCCAGAGGCATGGAGGCACGGAGCGGGCTGACAGATCTCAGAGGGGAGAGGCGGGGGGAGAGAGATTAACTGAAGAGCATATATGCAGACGCACGGACACGGGCTATAGTGCGGGGAAGGCCTGGGGTGGGGTGGGGCTGGGTGGAGGAGGGCAACGAGAGGAAATGGGGACATCTGTAATACTGTCAACAATAACAAAAAATAAAACATGGCCAACACTGCCATGGGGATGGGGACATGAGCATGTTCACAGAAAAGGCAAGACGCCCGCTGGGTAAGATGGAGCCACATCACAAATGCCAAAGGGGAAGCTGGGGCTCGGCGGCCTGGCAGCCGCCCCGCCCATGCCAGCTTTTTAAACTGGCTTTACCGAGCTGTAAGGTGCACACACAAGCCCCACCCCTTTTAAGTGTACAATTTGAAGACCGCTGGCATGCCCATTTGTGTAGCCACTGTCACAGTCATGACCCAGAACATATTCTTTACCCTAAAATCCCCTACGACCCTTCGCAGCCAGCTCCCCGGCCGCCCCGGTTCCTGCCCACCCTGCCCTGTCCTGTCCTGTCCCCCTGGAGCCCTGCCCTTTCTGGAATGTGTGCCTGCGGCCTCTTTACCCTGCCCGCTCCCCTGGGTAGCGGGCAGCGGTCTCCGCGCGTCAGCCGCCCATTCCTCTGGCCAGTGGCTGGGCTGCACTGCAGCAGGCACCGCGCCCTCTCTTCTCCAGGGACGGCCTTTTGGGCTTGGTCACTTTCGGTGATCACCTTCATATATTATTTGACCTTCACCATCACACCCGCAACTTCTGCACGCACCCATCTGTACATGATTTGATGTCTCTCACCTTCCCAGGAGGCCAGCATTGCTATTACACCATTTTATGGAAATGGGCACAGGGAGGTGATGGGACTTGCCCCGCGGCCCCTGGAGCCCGCACCCTGTGGGAACCCTGACGCTGGGCTTGGCACCGATCCCTCGGGGACTCTGATGAAAGTTTCCTTCGCCTCCCAGGTGCTGTGCAGAGCGAGGAGTCGTCCCTGCGGCCTGGGCCAGCCCTCGCCCCCCAGCAGGACGCCCGTTGCGCCCCCAGGCCCGGGGGGCCGCTGAGCGCGCGCAGCTCCTCCTCG